TGTCTTTTGCACCTGGTTGATGATGTTTACTTCAAGTCATGCATGTATAAGACATTATTAATTATATTGTAACATGCTTATGCATGCAAGAAAATATATTTAATAATATAAATATAGTCCATAGACATATGACACTAGCAACAATGCAAATAATGTAGAGTTTGTAAACATAGCTAATTTCAATATCTGCATTTCATCATAACAGTTCATATTGAAGGCATTATTGAAATAACATATAACCTTGTATGCTTATCTCTAACCTACACAAATCACACAGGTCAAAATAAAACAAGTATTACACACTTGTTTAAATTTTATGTTGATCTCTTACTCTATTGTTTATGTGAGAACATTAAATAATTCCAAGATAATCTCAATACCAATTATGCTTATCTCTAACCTCAATGCAACAACCACGTGCTTAGTTTACCCATATATAACTTCTTTTATTGATTAGAGTTTGTAGTTTTTTAATTACGGGAAAATACTCACTATTTCTTCCTCTAATTATATAAATTACGGGAAAATACTCAATTTATTCCTCTAATTATATAAAATACGGGAAAATACTCACTATTTATTCATCTAATTAGCTTTGTCCACATTTCTTTTACTTTTCAGTTACTCTCTTATTCAATACTATACAAATATGTACTGAAAAATTATCAGTTCTTTTCTCATTGTTTTCTCTGTTTCAGTTCAACCAGCAAAAATCTACTTTTCGATATCAAAATTCCAGATCGTGCACAAAAAAAAATCAATCCGGGTATCAAAGTTGAGTTAAAATGAGAAGTTTTTTTTTAAAAAAAAAAAATCATTTTCCGTCTGAAAGGTGAAGACCGCAGACGAAACTTTACATTTTGTTGAAAACTGAAAATGATCTAAACAAAATCGTACAAACATATGAAATCAAAATAATTATAATTCGTGAAAAAAAATAGGAATACATAATACTGAATAAAATTATAAATATATTAATATACTAATTCAAAATAAAAAATGATACTTGAGCTAGAAAGCATAACTAAAATCGAATTTCATGTCTTAAATTCATAAGAATCGAAAATTTCGAAGATGAAACGTGAGGAGAGGAAAGAGTGAAGCGGCGCAAATGACAAGCCTAACCTAATGACGACCAAATGCTATTATATGGTCGATCTCACACGTACATTTCGGTTGATTATTGTCAATCGTTCGATCCTTTTTTTTTTAACTGAATTGTATTTGGGCTCTCTGTTTGTGGGCCGTTTGCAATAAAAAAAACTTTACACCATGTACAACATATATCACTTTGCAAAATTACCACATGTATAACTCTACTTGCAATATTACTAGATATATAAAAAATAATTAATTTAAACATGCAATCAACTGATGTCATGATCGTTCCATTATTATATAATTTTAATTTAAAAACAAAATTCTCTTTAAAAAGACAGAAATAATAAAGCACGTGCATCGCACGGGGACTGTACTAGTTAATAGATGTTATGTTGTTGAAAAAAAAAAATTAACATATTTTGAAAACCTAATTATCATCAACTGTTAATTAAGAAAGGCGCCCAATTGGCCAATTCACAAATTTTGAAAATCCAAAACGCACCCAACGGCTACCATCCTTCCATTATCTAATAATTATTTCCTCTCCATACGCTCCCCACACACAGACACACACTACACCCAAAATCTCCGATTCATTTTCCGACGCCGGCAAAATTTTCTGCTCGATGGCCCCGACGAAGTCTGAGCCCACTGCAGTAAAATCAAGCCGGAGCTCAAACCCGGCTAGAAAAGTGCGAATAATCGGGAAAATTAGGGGTTTTACGGACAGCGAATCTGAAACTCACAGCTCAGATTCAAACCCATGGATCACCATCGAGAAATTGAAGGAAGACGTCCCTGCTGGAAAATCGACGGTATTTCTCGAGAGTCAGTCCGCCAGGTAAAGGGTCGTACGTACTTGTTGTTTTGTATGTGTTGTCGTTTCAATATTTGATCTCAGCACTGGTAGAATTAACTTTGTTTTTTGGCTTACTTTTGGTGTTGGACTTTAGTTTTCTGATTGATCTGAGAATTTAGGGCTGAAAGCCTTGCATTTCTTAGTTTGGTGGTGACTGGTTAGTACATATCAGCTGTATTTGTCAGGGGAGTAGCAGAATACTGTTATGGGCTACTTGGTCTGTTATTTTCCAAATTCAGTGTAATTTATACATAGAGTTTTTTTGTGCTAGTCGAGTATTGTGAAGACTCAGTCTCTCTATACAACTGTTATATGTGACACAAACAAGTCTGTGAACTACATATAGTTGCTAGGAAGGGATACTAGTAAGTAATACCTTACTGGTATTGACTGAAATGCTATTTGATGTTTTTTCCGGTCGTGTTTAGCAGGAAAGATGGGTACGACCTGGACCATTGCTATGATAAACATGATGACCTCGGCCATATATACTCCAGAGAGATACAACCCATGATTTCAGACGTTTTTAATGGCCGAAATGCATCAGTTATTGCTGTAGGGGCAAAAGGGAGTGGCAAAACTCACAGCATCCAGGTTTATTCTTGTCTCTACGACTCTTTTTTCAAATGGCATTTTCTGTAAGACTGTAACCGCTGAAATTTATCATCGCTTAACTTGCAATCTATTTGAAGGGGACTCAAGGGAAACCTGGTTTGGCCATGATGGCAATGGCCGAAATCCTTTCGAAGGCAGAGGAGCTGGGAAAGTCGGTTTCTGTATCTCTATACGAGCTGACACAAGAACACGCTAAAGATCTTTTAAATCCCGAACATCCTACTATCCAAGTTTTGGAAGACGCTTGGGGAAAAATCAACCTTAAAGGACTTTCTCAGGCAAGAAATTGTGATTGTTATATTTGCACAAATTACTGAAGTTGGAAACTTGCATTTGTCTTTTACTCCATGAAATTCTTTTTTGTATGTGTTGGTTATCTATTATCTTTGTGCAGGTCCCGGTCAAATCTATGTCAGAATTTCAAGATATATACCTCAGTCAGGGAAATTTACTCAATGCTCAGAAGTTACCATCCGATCATCCACGCAACAAGGGCTTGATGGTGCATATATTATCTGAAGATGACAAACTGAAAGCCGCCAACAAGATTAATTTTGTTGATTTAGCAGGTTTCTACGTTATGTGCATCTCCATTTTCATTTACATATTGTATATTTTTTTTCATTTTTTTTCTATAACATTCAGAATGATATTCTAATTTTTTTCGTAACTTCTATTTTACCAGGGTATGAGGATCCTCGAAAAAGTAGCAGAGATGGGGTCACGCCCAATGACAACAGTAGGAAAAACAAATTGTTGTTTGCTTTACTTAGTGTTGTCAATGCAATTAACTCAAGCGAAGTTCGAGTGCCGTATCGAGAAAGCAAACTCACTCGAATATTGCAAGACTCGCTTGGTGGAACAAGCCATGTTTTGCTGCTTGTTTGCTTGGTATGACTTTTGGAGCTTCACTAGTAATTGAATTAATTTTTTGTGTACAGAAAAACAAAAACAAAAAAAAGAAGTTATTCTGACTTTCTTCCTTTCTAAAATTTCTTATTGGATGAAGAAACCTTGCTTTTGCCAAGACTCTCTTAGTTTCATAAGTTTAGTCTCTCGGACATGTCGAAACGTTAAGCAAGTATTGACTGATTCTACCAATAGAAGTCAAAGTTCAGTCAAAGTGAAGATGCTTTCTTCACTAGAAAGTGGAAAAGCAATGTCTACTTCATGTAGTGTGAAAAGGCAGGTTGGCAATAGTCGGTTTCTGTCTGCAAAGAAGGCTAGTGGCTCTGTTAAGGGAAGGTATACCCATATTCTTGGAAAATTTACGTGGAAGTTGAAGTAATCAAAGTTATACATGTTCAATGATTTCATCTCTCTTTCACTCTTCTTGAAGGAAACTCTTTGATGAAGTCAAGAAGGTCAATCATTATAAGAACCAGGTAATATGTCTTCAAGTATTAAAAATGTGTCGAGTAAAGTTTATCCCTTTTTCCTTTTTTTTTTTTTTTTCTTGT